GGGGCCCTGCCCGCCTCCCCCGGGGCCCTGCCCGCCTCCCGGGCTGTACAGCCCGGCCGGGCCCGCCTGCTCGAACGTCCTGCCGCTGCCTCTAGCGACCGGTGTCACCTGAAAGACGTGAGAGAGGTTTTAACATCTCAAACGACTTCTCATCCCAGCCCGGGATGAGGAGTGTGCCAAGCGTTGCCTGCGCTTTCCAGACGGTGTTTTACCTGTGGAGAGGTAATTCCGTGGGTGCTGAGGTCACCAATTACTCTATTGCCGGGTTTACCACGGGAAACGAGAGCGATACCACTAGACAAAACGAGTTTACCTCACAGTTAGTACCATTTCCACTAGAGATGAGAAGTTCTATCCCAGATCTGTGGGATGTGTCTCCCCACACCCCCGTTTATTCAGACTAACCCGGCAGGGGCTCACCCTGCACACAGGATTGCCTTGTGCTCAGCACAGTTACTACAGGAGCCGAGATCCACTCTGGGGTGCTGTGTCAGGGTGACAGGACCCACCTCCAGGCTGAAGTATTTGCAGTCCTTAATCCCAACACTTGCCTGCCACTGCCCCTGCTCGCTGGAAGTCACAGTGTCCAACTGCAGGTCTGTGAGGACGAGCCAGGCACACACTGAGGTGTTTGCTGTTCTCCAGGTACTGAATTCGTCTCAAGTGCTTTTCTCTTTTTACTCCCTACACCTGCCCAGCGAACACCCCGCACCATTGCCAACACAACACTTGTCTTCCATATTGCCCGTTTTGCCTTGAAAACCAGTTTCCAAGGCCATGATGTACCTGCCCGCATTTTTTTCATGTTTTATTTGATTCCTTCCTGTCTCCTTTTGCCCTGCAACCTTCTCCAGTGGTTTGACTTCACTCCTAAGACGTATCCAGACGCTGTTTTTTTTCCCCTTTCAGCCACACCTGGGACAGATCTGCAGGTAGCAGAACGTGCCCGCAGCTCCTCTCGCCCTGCTGCTGTTTCCCTTGGCCCGTCCCTTCCGCAGCAGCGCGGACAGAAGGCCCTAAAAGCTGAAAAAGCTCAACTTTTGTCACTATGAGTTATTTCTTAACCTAACGGCAGGGTCAGCTGGGTGCGCTAACAGGGCCCGGGCTCTCCCCACCGACTCCCCGCTTCCCAACGAGACCGGCCCCCGTGGAAACGGCCCCGCTCCCCGGCGAGGAGCCGCCCTGGAGCGGAGCAACCGGGACACGTTTCCGCGACATCGGCCGAACGGCCCCGCCCGGAGGCGGGGGAAGTGAGAGGAGGGGTCGGTTGCGTGTGCGTGGGTGCGGAGGGAACCGTCTCGCGTCCCGGAACCTTCCGGCC